TTTTATGAGAGAGAAAGAGAGAGGGGGGAGGAAGAGAATCCCAAGTAGGCTCCATGCTGTCAGTACAGAGCTCAATGCAGGGGCTGAGTCTCACAACTGTGAGATCATGACCTGAGCTGAAATCAAGAGTTGGATGCTTAACTGACTAAGCCACCCAGGAGCCCCACAAGTGACATATATATGTGTGTGTGTGTGTGTGTGTGTGTGTGTATACTTAATTTGCATAAGTAATTCCTTTTTGACATAGAAAAAGAAGTCATGCATACCACATGGGTATACACACAGAAATTCACCCATAGCCCCATCACCTATCATCCTGAAAGAGAACCACTGTGAATATTTTGATGTAGAATTTTTCAGGTTTTTAATTTTTTTTAATGTTTATTTATTTTTGAGAGAGAGACAGAGTGTGAGTGGGAGAGGGGCAGAGAGAAAGGGAGACATAGAATCTGAAGCGGGCTCCAGGCTTTGAGCTGTCAGCACAGAGCCCGAGGCGCGGCTCAAACTCAAAAACCTAAGCCAAAGTTGGATGCCTAACTGACTGAGCCACCCAGGTGCTCTGAATCTTTCAGTTTTTTAAAATGAGATCATGGTAAACATGCCTTATTTTACCTACTCTTTTTTAAAAAAATTGATATATTATGAACCTCTTTCCATCACACTGGATGAATGAGTTATGACATAATTTTTAATAGTTGTGTAATACCCCATTGTAGTTTGTTTAGCTAATCACCTCTTTGTTGGTCATTTCAAGTATCTTCCAGTGTTTTGACTTTGGGAGGAAACTCACAAAATTATTTTCAAAGGCAGTGTCAAAAAGCAAATCCTCAAAGAATCTGCACAGTCTCATTTTGTGGGTCTGGTTTTGTACTAAAACCGTGTCATCCAGCATGCAGATGCTGTGGGAAGCAAGTGGTCTCTGGACTGATTTTTAAGTCCCTGAACATCCTAGAGCTGCCTGAGCAGCTGGGTCAGCCCATGGAGCCAGGTCACTTAAGCCAAGGTGGTCCTCAGAGGACACCTGTAAAGGATGTGTCTCTCCTTGGGGGGATGTGATAGGTTCTAAGAGGGTAGGAGCCAGAGAGAGAACAGGACAGTGTATCCAGGCCTTCTGAGACATTTTATTCTCTTAACAAATATATTTTCTCGAGCCCTCTTCTAATTTGCCATTTTCCCCAAGCAGAGTAAACGGAAAAGTTCTAGCTTTGAGGTTGAGAGAATTAAATGGAACTCAGCAGTAGGAGCAAATTTCATGTCCAGAACAGTTCTTCATATATTCATGTGCTTATGCATTCAACAGATAGTTGTTAAGGCCTCACTATGTGATAGGAACCAGGGTAGATGCCAGAGGTGCACACAAGCTATGGTTCCTGTCCATGGCCTGGACAAGGGGTGAGCTGATGTTTAATATTTCACAAACATCTCCCATTTCCTGCTTTATTTAGGGCCAATTGGACTGGTCACTTTGATCGTGGCCAAGGCAATGGGTGCATCCCAAGTGGTGGTGACTGGTAAGAAGGCTTTCTTTTTCAATCTCCTTGAAGAGGAAACAGCTGGCCTACCATTTAGGCCAGGGGCTTGAGAACTATTCCTTTCCTGGAGTGCTGGGTTTCTAAAGGGGCTCTTCCTCTTTTCTCCCCCCCGGGGTTCAATGGTTGAAAAGCCCACCCAGGGGCAGAGGGTGGCTGCTGCGGAGAAGGTCTGGCTCTTTATGTGTGGACCCCAGATGCCCCTACTGCTCACTCAGTTCTAAGAAGAGGCTTAGCCCCTGGTCCATTTGACCAAACCCAGGAGGTAAAGAAGGTGTGCTTGTGTGTCTGTGAGGTGGAGTTAGTGGGATCTATGATATGTTTATAGGAGGGTGTTTGTGTGTGCAGTGTGTGGTATGGGTGAGAGATGTGTGTATGTGTGAGGAGAGCTTATCTGTGACAGTATGTGTGGAAGCATGTAGGGTATAGAAAGGTGTGTGTGTGTGTGTGTGTGTGTGTGTGTGTGTAAGGTATCTGGGAGTGTGGGTGTGGGTGAGTGTATAGAATTGTGGAGTATGTGGATATAAGGGGAGTAGGGATGTAGGAGAGTGAGTGCTTTGTGTGTGGAGAAGGTATCAGTGTATAGAAGGTATCTGAATGTATATGTGAGGACTGGGTACCCTTCAGAGAGAGAGAGGGAAGCTATGTAGAGCTGTGTGGTGTGTATAGGGGTGTGTGGGGATGTAAAACAGTGGATATTTGAGAAGTGATCTGAGTGAGAGGGATGGGGGAAGGGAAAGGGAGAGAGAGAGAGAGAGAGTGTGTGTGTGTGTGTGTGTGTGTGTGTGTGTGTGTGTGTGTGTGCAGCTGTGTGGTGTGTATGGGAGAGTGTGAAGGTATAGAGAGTAAGTGTTTGGGCTCAGTGACACCACCCACTACACCAGAGTTTTATTACCACTAAAACATACACCTCCATCTTCATTTTCTCTCCAATCTGCCATCCAGTTCTCAGTTTGAAAGAAACTTTTGTTCAACTTTAGATCTGTCTGCCACTCGGTTGTCTAAAGCCAAGGAAGTTGGGGCTGATTTCGTCCTCCAGATATCCAAGGAGAGCCCTAAAGAAATTGCCAGTAAAGTGGAAGATCTGCTGGGGTGCAAGCCAGAAGTTACCATCGAGTGCTCGGGGGTGGAGCTGTCCATCCAGGCGGGCATCTATGTGAGTAGGATGTGGGTCACTGAAGCTGGTGGGCAGCTCTGGGAAATCAGTGCAGGGTAGGTAGCAGTAAGGAGTGCTAGGAACAGGTGTCTCCACCCTTGTTATGTGACCTCCCCCCACACACACACACACACAAGCAAAATTAGGTAATCTAGGTATCCCTGGTGGTTTTTCTTATTTCTTTTTTTTAATCTCACTTGTCTAGTACCCTTATTAGGTCGGTGTAAAGTCTAAACAAGGTAACAGGCATATATGGGCCTTGAAAAATGTTAAGAGACACACCCCTTTAAAATGGGGTTGCTATCATGATCATATCTGTGGTCATAAAAGCAGTGCTATTGGTGAAAAGATAACAGAAGGAAGAGGGAACCATGCCTTAGTCGTGTGTGGGAAATCCCTATCTTCTTTAATTGAGGAAAACTGCAGTCTTTGAGTCATTGATACAAAGTGAGAGCCATTCATTTAGTTAGTCACAAAGGTGTGGTGATTTTTAGGGTCACAGTTGGCCACTACTCTTCTGTCCCAGACCTGGCAACAGGTAGCTGCCAACACCTGATTTGCACCTCGGCAACCCCCCAGTAGTTTATGGGAAGTTGGTGGAATGGGGGTGGGGAATGGCATTGATACCAAGTATGAGGAAAAGAGGGGAGAAAGAATACCTTCTAGGCTTCAGCCTCACCATGTGCTGCGTCTTCTGCTGGGTACTTTATAAATGTGATGCCAGATCTGCCCAATAGCCGCGAAGATTAGTTATCACTGCCTACATTTTACCACAAGAGGCCTGGTGACTTGCCTTGAACACACTGCCCCAGTGCCTGAGTTTTTCTTACTCTGTCCACTGCTTAGGAGAAAAGGGAAGAAGGGGACCAGGAGCCAGTGGGCAACCATGCTGGCATGGGAGGGACTGGGCTGAGGAGGGTGGTGGCAGCAGCCTCCAGCACTGAGCACACAAGCCCCTGCATCCCACATTGCTTCCTCGCGGCAGTACAGGCTTCCTCCTTCCTTCTGAGTCACAGCTGGGTCATGCGTAAGGGCACTTTGCACCTGCAAGACATTCTGGGGATGGCAGAGCTGCCTACCTATTTTCCTACCTGAATACCCATGGCATCAGGGGCTGAGGAAGTGTTGGGAGGGCGGGGAGGAACAGGTGCCACTTTTTCTTTGTCCTAAGTTCCAGCTGGAGCCGCCCCACCCTCTGCTCCACCGTCAGAGACGACAGTTGCCATGTGGGAAGGGGCAAAGAGAAACCTTTCGGTCTGTGGGTGATTAGTCAACCAGTGACTTGTCTTGGGCTCCTGCTGCGTTCCGGCTTTGTGCTGGGCACTTTGAGGGCTATGATGAATAAGGTGTGTCCCTCTTGAAGTTGTTGGCAGTCAGTGACCCCCCACTCCAGAGGAAGGCAGTAAAAGCCATGGCTTCGTAATGCAAGACTCTCTTCTTCTCCCCTGCCTGGAGAACATTGGGAACAGTTGACATCTATCTCCAGCTGTTGACGTTGGGGGCCCGGTTGCTAGGCTATCTGAGGCAGCTGGGCCTGAAGCCAGTACCTCTCCTGAGTGGGGAATAGAGCCATTATGCATGACAGATGCTATAGGGTGCTGCAGGCCACCCCACCAACAGGCAGGTTAGGTGGAGGCATCTTATATGGACACACCTGAGAGTCACTTTCCTGGCAGGTTTGTGACTAGAAAATGTCTGGGAAGAAGCATGGCAAATGCTTAGGGTAGAGTTCATGTCATCTTGGTGCAGAGGTCCCACCCACAAAACAATAGTCAGGTAGTCCAAGCATTCCTTTGCCTGTGGTCTGCAAATAGCTGGCCTCCTGGCAGCTTGGGATGGCCAGCTTGGTAGTATTCCTCCTTCTCACTAGGTAGAGAGGAAATACTGATGGGGAAACAGTTTTTCTAAACAATTTATCACTCAAAAAAGTTTTCTGTGGCTCACTCACAACTTTGACCTCACTTCCCACCCCACCCCACCCCACCTTTTCCAGTGGGGACAGCAACATTTTCCAGTGGTGAGAGCGCCTTTCCTAACTGACAGTGGTCATAAGTCACAGTGGTTTGTAAGTGACCCTGTGCTTCAATAAAAACAGAAAACATGCTGAACGATGAGCCCATCCTAGTGCCGAGGACTGTGATTTTTATCCTAACAGCCCCACTGGGGAGGCATCATCCTGATCGTATACACGAGGAAGCTGCTTGAGAGGGTCCCATAGCTCAAAAGTGCAAAGTCCAAAGTCACCCCCATTCTGCAGGCTTCTCTTCATGGCATTTCCTTCCCCCCATAGGCTGTGATGTGTGGCTTTTTGCAGCTCCACTGGTTAGATTGGTCCCAGTAAGTGCTAGCTGCTCCCAACTATAATGAAAATGAACTATTTTTCCATCTCTCACAATACTGACCACAGTGATCCCCAAAAATCTCTGGTGAAGGCACAACACTCATGTGGAATCAGTGGAATGAGTGGAGATTGTCAGGAGAAATTTCATTCTCTGGCCCATTCTAAGGAGGGAAACTGATAAGGCAGATAGGTGTTCAAGGAAGACAAAACCTATTGTGGCTGATACTGTTGGGATGAATGTCTCTGGAACAAAAATATTTCTAAATGTCAGCCAGCCTGTGTGTGTAAGGCAGTCTTTAAGCCAGAGAATTCTAATGGCCCTCCCCGTTTGTATGTGGTGGGTAGTTTTATCACCAAGAGGGTGCTTCCTTAGAGGTTTGACCAAAGTGCTGTCTTTTATGGGGTTGACATTCTGGAGGAGGGGCAGGTGCTGAGATGAGGATGTACCTGAACCAACATCTGGTACTGAATTAGTAAAGCTTTGAAAGATGCTCAGGGCCTGAAGGTTAACTGTTGGTAGGGGAGATTTCTCACTGGGGTCTAGAGAACTTGGCTATTTCCTAGGAGGCTGTAGACAGCTGAGGGTGCTCCCAGTGTACCTGGTCCTCCTCTGGATCTTCACAGAAGATAACTCTGCTGCTCTGTTAAGTATGGTCAACATATGGAAGAGTTCACCAGTATAGAAAGAATCATATTCTCTGGAACATTTGGGTACTCACCTGATGCAAACAGATATTTATTTGTGCGAGAAGTCTGCATTTTCTGATCTTCTGAGTTTTCTTGGTCTTATCTCCTCTTCAGGCCACTCGTTCTGGTGGGACCCTGGTGCTCGTAGGACTGGGCTCTGAGATGACCACTGTGCCCCTCGTGCACGCAGCCACCCGGGAGGTGGATATCAAGGGCGTGTTTCGATATTGCAACACGTGAGTATGTTGTGGGTGAGCCAGGGTAGTGAAGGGCCAGCAAGACCCGAGCATGGCCTCTGGAAACAGGATCCTCTCTTGTTTAGTCATGAAGGGCTTTTCCTTACCACACTGACAGCCATGCAACATGGTAGGGATCCAAAGACAGAGCATCAAATAAGAGGGCAGAGATGGCGGAGGGAAGGATGGACAGCGGGAGGCAGGGAGGGGGATCTTGAAGCATGCTCTTCTTGGATGTCTGCCCCTTATCACCCAGGCCCTCTCTTTTCCATTTCCTCAAGTGGCCACATCTTCATTGTCCTCTTTTAAAGGGAAGAAGGAGAGAAAGGGGACAACAGAACAGCAAGAACTCAAGCCCCTTGGTTTCCACCCCAGAGCCCCAGGGCCCACCCTGGGAAGTGAGAGGGTCTTAGTTCACCCCACCTCATGTTCTGTGGTTCTGCCCTCTCCCCATCTGGGGAACTTTCCCAGGACCACCTTCCCTACCAGCGTCCGTCTATGGCCGTCTATGACCATTCCTTCAGCAGAGTGCTCTTTTCTGATGAACTCTGCCAAGCCAAGCTGCAAAGGGGTGTGGCTGGGTTATCATGAGCTCCTTCTCTGAGGCTAATCTGCCTTTTCACAGTGGCCTCCGTATGCCTTATGCCTTATGCCAAAGGAATTCTAAGCTTTGTGACAGACATTGCAGAGGGGTGGAAGCATTTGGGAACAGACTCTGGATTCCCAAGTTGCAATCATAAGATCATTTCCACCATCGTTGGGCTGTAGAATAGACTCGCCAGGACCACAGTACTATAAATAAAAATGGCCAAGCTGATCTTGTGCTTGGTAGTTTGGGGACCTAGTTCTTTCCTCCTGCAGGTTGAATGTAACACTTGTGATCTTTTTACAGGTGGCCGATGGCGATTTCAATGCTTGCATCCAAGTCTGTGAATGTAAAGCCCTTAGTCACCCATAGGTTTCCTCTGGAGAAAGCTCTGGAAGCCTTTGAAACATCCAGAAAGGGATTGGGGTTGAAAGTCATGCTTAAGTGTGACCCCAATGACCAGAATCCCTAATATTAATTGGGCTCTGCCCTCACCATTTCCGTCCCACCCCCCACCCCCCAGTATCTCCAGGCAGGGATGGGCTTTGAATACAGAAGTTTCTTTTGAGTAATGAAAACAATTCATTATAAGCAGAAAGCCTTACATGGAGGAATTGGTGTGCCTTAAAAACACAAGTAGGGACAGTCTGGGGGAATTTGCAGCCAGAATGACCTGTTCATGCAGAGCAAAGTTCAGCAAGTAGAGCAGAGTTTGGTGTAGGTACTGGGAACTCCCCTTCTTCCTGGAGCGCCTGAGTTGAGTAAGGAAAGAAATCTGCCCATTGGGTTCCTGGTTCCACCACGACTGGCCAGGTGGGGATGGGAGCTGAGTTATGAAGAAATAACTTTATCAAGACTTAACTGGCCCAGAAATTGATTTTCATGAAAATCTCAGCTCAGGGTCTGGGATGAAGCATTCTCAGCAGTTTTATAGTTTAGAGCACAGTGTTTCTAGACATAAGTGCTATTTGGTTTGATGATAAAAGACTTTAAGGGACTGACCTTCCTGTATCTAGGATAATTTTTAAATCTATCAAGAAAACAAAACAATGCTGAAATCCCTCATAAGGTCCAACCAGCTTGCGTTCTCCAAATGTAAAAAGAGCCAGGCAAGTTCTCAATATTGCTCAAAGATCACCTTTTCTTGAATTCCTAAGAGTTCTCTGTGACTTAAACTACCTTCCCAGCGCTCCCCACCCCCACCTGTCTGCTTTCAGGGGCAGTCCCTGAGGGCTCCTTTGTCACTAGACAACGGGGGAGGGGTCCTCACAGGATTTGCCCCCAAAGTGTCTGGCCAGTGCACCCGTCTTCCCACCCCACAGGGTTAGCATTCCTTTCACATTCACTGATGATAGACAATTCCATTTAATTCTGGTAATTATAAACAGAAAGCCTTCCTCCTCACAGCCTGTTAAATAAAGCTCTTGGTATCTTTCTGTTTGAATGATCTCTCCGATCTTGTTTTGATCATGGGGTTTTCTTGTGTAAGATTTGGGTCCAAATCACTTTTTGCCCATTTGTGACTTTGAGACTATTGGTCAGGAATGAGGATATTGTAGCTGTGACCTAACTTGGGCTGCAGCCTTTTAATCCTTCCCTTCAGCTGGGAATGGAGGGTGAGTTTGAAGAGGTGCTGGCTTTCTTGTGACTGGGGCAGGCCATGATCGCTGCTTGGAATTCCTCAAACTGCTTTGGGTAATAAATTGTGCTTGTGGTACCTGACTGCTGCCACCTGTTTGTGCCCCTTTGTAGGGAGGAATGGACTCTGGCTACCCATTTAACAAAGGGAAGGACCCAGGATTTTTGAAAGCGACACATTTTCTGCATCAAATATAATTTCATTAACTTGGAAATTTATGTTCATGATCTCTAATCCTCACAGCAAGCCAGATACGTCAGATTATTTTACAGCTAAGGAAATAGAGACATCAAGGAATTTGCTCAAGGTCACCCACTGCTTTTCCTGTCTCATGTTCTCTCTGGAGGAAGGGGGCGAGTCTTGAGACTTCTGTGCACACTCAGCAGCCACAGAGCCCACTTGTACTTTCTTCTCTGTGTTCCGCTTAGCTCCAGGGGCAGACTTGCCAGCTGCCTCCTCTTAACTCCTTCTAGCTCTGGTGCCCAGAGTTCCTTGAATGAGGGATGAGAAGGCCTTCCCCTTCTAGATGGAAGGCTTCCAACAGAAATGCTCCTGAGGGAGGTGGGTTCACTGTTAAATTCACAAGTAGCCACTATTCCTTTGATTGTGGTTTATTGGAGGGAAAGGACCTCTGAAACTGAGAAGGACTTAGGAGCTACAGAGGGGACCCTGGGAAGGTGGGGCTACCAAGGACAAAGGCATGGGTGACCTATCTCACAATTGTGATTTGGCTGGATCTTCTAAGTCCAGCATTGCTTGATGTGTTGGCTTGGCTTCGTGCTGCTGCCACCAGGGCAGTGATGAAGTGAATGACCTGATGGAAAGTGGCCGTTCAGACAATACTACCCATTGCCAAATCCCCTCACTGCTCTTAAGCCAGTAGACAGTTTCACAGCTCCCAAGCAGGGGCAGCGAGGGTGATAGGAGAGGAGGGGCTGTGGGTGGGCTGCCCACTCAGTGAGTCCTCTGGGTGGTGAGAGGGCCCAAGCTGGTATTACTGAGCTGTGCCTGGCTCCCTCACCTCTGCGGCCTTGTTGAAATGTTCCCCACTGCCATTTGGAAGGAATTGCAGGAAGCCCAGGCATTGATTCTTCAGCCGTCTCCACTTAGTGCTCAATAAATATTGATTAACTCAGTGAATCAGTCCCGGAACCAGGAATATGGCCCTGTCGGCCTCTGTGCTCACTAGTGCCTGGCAACTTGTTGGCTTTCAATCAACAGAGGACCCCACCCAGCTGGCACTCCCAACACTAGGGTGGGGTGTGTGGGTGGAGAGCTGTGAAGAAGGACCCTGAAGGCAGGCTGGAGGGTGGAAGGGGGAGGCTAGCCCATGGGCCCTAAAGGAGAAAAGTGGACACAGCTCCAGCAACTTCTCTTGACATCCACCTTTGGCTACAGTGAAGTCACTGTATGTTAATGTGGAGTCACTTCTGGACCGCCAATCCCTGGTTCTAAAGCCACCCCAGGCTCACTTCTCTGTACACAGTCCTGCCTCTTCCTTCTTGGCTCCTATTTTTCTCCCTTTAGGAGAGCAGTGGGGGCATGTGGGGAAATCGCTTGGACCAGAAATTCAAAGTGTTGGAAGCAAATAGGATTTATTAGGTATTTGTTTTCCCAGAACTGTCCTCTGTCCATGATCTCAGCCTAGCTTGGAATACAGAAGGCCCACTAAGGGACCCACATCCCCAGGTAGCAGGCAAATCTCTACCGCCCCTACCCCAACTCACATAGCCAAATCCCAGAGAGTTCAGAGAGGAGCAGCATGAGGAAAGGGTGGCAGGGAAGTGGCTTGGCTTGGAGCTCATCTGCAGGAAGTACCTTCAAGACAGCAGCATGTGTTCTCTGGTGCAGTGGCTGCCTTGTCGCAGCTGCAAGCTGTGCTCCAACTGTCTCTGACCCCCACTCTCAGCACCCCTCTTGTAAAACCCTGGTGGAGTCAGGCACTGAGCTCCTTCTCCAGGTGCCTGATGGTGTTCCTGCCGAGAGATTGCTTGGTGGATCTTAATCGTCGGTGGGGGTGGTGGGATTGGGGAGTAGCCTCTGTCTTCAGGGTCTTGGACCCATCAAGCCTACGAGAGACAGCACTTCGTAAAGGGTTTGATGCCAGGATTCCTGGGTACTTTCTCTCTTTTTTTTTAATTTTTAGTTTTTATTTAAATTACAGTTACTTAGCATACAGTGTAATAGTAACTTCAGGTGTACAATATCGTGATTCAACACTTCCCGTACAACACTAGGTGTGGGAACACTACAACACTTTCTAATCCTGAGCGCATCACAAACTCACTGCGATTTTCCCAGTCAGTTCCCTAATCCGAGTCTGGGTTTCCTCCCTTTTTAATAGAGGAGTGGGCCAGACGACCTCAAGGCCTCTATCATCACTGATATTGTCACCATAGACCTAATCTTTATGGCCCACCTGCTTGTACTCACTGACCTTTGTCCTACATTTTCCCTTAAGCTCTTTCCAGTTTATCTCTCAACTTTGCCAAAAGACCGTAGCATCCTATAACGGAAGCCAAAACTACTCAAGCAATAAAGACTGCCCTGATAAGACCCAGCCAGCCCAGACCACACAGACCAGTTTCAGCTAAAGCCCCCACTCGAGCCTGCACAAATGAACCATGGAGTGACCTCTGGAATGACTGGCAATCACCTTTACCTCACTCCTCCTTTACATAACATACAATATGTGTATAGGCATGTTTCTTAAGGCACATGTACAACCTTATGCCTGTCTCTACGTATGATGGACAAAGACCCCCTTTTAAAATATTCATCCTAACCATAAATAAAAGGAATTCATCCACCCTTGCTTGGGGAGTTATGGCTTTGGAAGTTATTCCCCTTAAGTTCCTTATTTGCTGCAAATAAATATTACATTGTGCAACAATTCACCTGGCATTTCTATCTACGACTTATCAAGGAGTAAACTCCTATCAGTTTAGTTATGATATTATACAGGGTTCCCATCATCCCAAGGCCCTGAGGAAAGAGGACACCTAGGGGGGTGGTCCTTGGGGTGGAGGTGTGAGGGGCCTTCTTGGGTTTCAGTGCCAGTCCTGTGTATGCATCTGTGTGTGTGAGGAAGTCGCCTGAGGGAGGGGAGGTGAGAGGAAGCTGGGGGTGAGGAAGCTGCCTGTGGAAACACCTACATCCTGGCCATCACCTTGTCCTGTTGCTTGGCCTCAGGCTCCCATGTATAGTCCTGAAGGGGACTGTGTAGCCCAGAGTTGGGCCCTGGGAGGTCTGGCTCCATCACTGACTTCCCTGCTGGTGGTCAATGATTGGCCTTTCTGTGCTCTGCATAGGACTGGAGGCAGAAACACAGCCTAGCAGTGGGGGATAGATGGATGGGGGACCCCAGCAATCCATCCAGAGTGAGGAGGGAGCTGTGGGAAGAAGGTGGGCCTGGGCCAAAAGTGGGCCTATTCTGGGCACAGCACCACGGAGGCACAGTCAGGATGCAGCTCCCTTGGGACCAGCTCCAGCCTTCAGGAGGTGCTAAAGCCATATGTGCCCTGCCCAGACCTCACAGGCTCTCTGTGTACCGGCCACCAGCTCCCTGGTCCTGGAGGCCTCTCCCACAGACCTGCCTCTGCACCTCCTCCCTGCAGGCATCCCAAGTGGCTCAACTGTTCAGTTGCTTGGCAGAGCCCTTGTCACCAGGAGATAATGGTATCTGTACTTTTCCTTATCACACAGGTTTGCATTGTTAAGAAAGTAAAAGCAGATAAGTAAAAAGAAGAGAAAATCAGCATAATCTGTTCTCCAAGGATACTAATAAGTTGGAGAACTTCCTTCCAGCTTTCCTCTGTGTGGCTCTATACATATAAAGCATGCACGTGCATTTATAATCAGAAATGGGAATGTACTTTACCTACTTTCCTCCCCCATTTTCCCCCATAACAGATTAGCACTTTATTTAACAATCACAATTCCCTTTTTTTTTTTTTTTAACATTTATTCATTTTTGAGAGACAGAGAGAGTGTAAGCAGGGTAAGGACAGAGAGAGAGGGAGACACAGAATCCTAAGCAGGCTCCAGGCTCTGAGCTGTCAGCACAGAACCCGACGTGGGGCTCAAACCCACGAACCACGACATCATGCCCTGAGCCGAAGTCGGGCGCTTAACCGACTGAGCCACCCAGGCACGCCCATAACTCCCTCTTAACAACAACAAAAAAACAGGGTTAATGGAGGGAGGTGGGCAGGGCATGGACTATATGGGTGATAGGTACTAAGGAGGGCACTTAGGATGAGCACTGGGTGTTACATGTAAGTGATGAATCACTGAATTTTACTCCTGAACCCAATATTGCACTGTATGCTAACTAGAATATAAAAAAAATTTTGAAAAAAATAAATACAAAATGAACAAATAAATCTAATGAAATGGAAAAACAACAAAACAAAAACAATCACAATTCTCATTGATGAGTAACAGTAATTGATGAATTAACAGTAATTGCTTTATACCATCCAACACTCCATCAATCCAAGAGCAACTTTCCCTAATTATCTAAAAGAAAAATGACTTTTTTCACGTCATTTTCTTGAACTAGGATCCAAACACATGTGGTTAATGTCTCTTAATTTTTTTTAAGTATTTATGTATTTTTGGGAGCGTGCAAGTGGGGGAGGGGTAGAGAGGGAGGGACAGAGGATCCGAAGTGGATCAGGCTGACAGCAGTGAGCCCAAAGTGGGGCTTGAACTCACAAACCCACTGTGAGATCATGACCTGAGCCAAAGTTGGTTACCCAACTGACTGAGCCACCCAAGTGCCCCCTTAAGTTTCTTTTAATCTATTATAGGTCCCCTCCATTTTGTTTAAATGTCACTTTTTAAATGTTTATTTATTTATTTTGAGAGACAGAGAGACAGAGAGAGAGAGAGAGAGAGAGAGAGTGTGTGTGTGTATGCATGTGCACACAAGCAGAGAAGGGGTAAAGAAAGAGGGAGAGAGAGAATCCCAAGGAGGCTCCATACTGTCAGCGCAGGGCCCCATGCGGGGCTCCATCTCATGGTTCCTGAGATCATTACCTGAACAAAAATCAAGAGTCAGACACTTAACCAACTGAGCCACTCAGGCGCCCCTAAATGTCACTATTATGTTCAAGAAACTGGGTCATTTGTCCTCTACATACTGTTTTAACATTTGTTTTCATTTAATAAAGCATGTTCATTTGACAGACTGTGAAATTCCTTTTTATGTCAATAATTAAACACATCATTATTTTTAATCACCATATTCCATTGCATGGATGTACTGTAACTCAAAGCAAATCACAATATTTTCGGTACTTGTATAGTCTACAGGGCTTGGGGCTTACAATAAAGTTGCAATGATTATGTTGTGCATATGTTGCTTTCTAGAGTTATGTTTTAAAATGAAAATAGCTGGGTTAAAGGGTCTACACATTTTTTTTTTTTAGTGTTTATTTATTTACTTTAAATGTTTATTTATTTTTGAGAGAGACAGAGACAGAATGTGAGTGGGTTAGGGGCACAGAGAGAGGGAGACACAGAAGCAGAAGCAGGCTCCAGGCTCTGAGCTGTCAGCACAGAGCCCGAGGCGGGGCTCGAACTCACGAGCCGTTAGATCATGACCTGAGCTGAAGTCGGACGCTCAACCGACTGAGCCACCCAGGCGCCCCTAGTGTTTATTTTTAAGAGAGAGACGGACAGACAGAGCATGAGCAGGGGAGGGGCAGAGAGAGAAGGATACACAGAATCCAAAGCAGGCTCCAGGCTCTGAGCTGTCCACATAGAGCCTGATGTGGGGTTCAGACTCACGAACCATGAGATCATGACCTGAGCTGAAGTTGGACGCTTAACCAACTGAGCCACCCAGGCGCCCCAAGGGCATACACATTTTAAAGATGACATGGTTAGACTGGAAAACAAAATACTGTTGAAACTACCTAACAGAATCTGAGATTGGGGTGCCCCAGGCCATGTACAATGTGGGAGAACTCTGGAGTCTAGGGAAGCTTTCAGGAACTGTTGAGGATGGGGCCATGAAGCCACTGGCTCTCTGGCTTTAGGCCAGTCTTGGGAGGAGGCTTGGACCTCACCATCTGTAAATTTGGATGAGTCTCCACCTCTTTGTGCCTCAGTTTCCTTTTTTTTAAATTTTTAAATATTTTTAACTTACATCCAAATTAGTTAGCATATAGTGCAAAAATGATTTCAGGAATAGATTCCTTAGTTCCCCTTACCCATTTAGCTCATCCCCCCTCCCATACCCCTTCAGTAACCCTCTGCTTGTTCTCCATATTTAAGAGTCTCCTATGTTTTGTCCCCCTCCCTGTTTTTATATTATTTTTGCTTCCTGTCCCTTATGTTCATCTGTTCTGTGTCTTAAAGTCCTCATATGAGTGAAGTCATATGATATTTGTCTTCTCTGATTGTCTAATTTCGCTTAGTGTAACACCCTCTAGTTCCATCCACGTAGTTGCAAATGGCTCACTTTCTTTTTTAAGAATAGTCAGTGGTCCCTTCTAGCTCTGGGACTACTGCAAGGATGACAACAAACAGCTCCTGTAAAGGGCTGGCATGGAATTCATAGGGAACTGTGGCTGGGTTACTATGGAACAGTGGAAGACTCTCTTCCCACCATGCCAGACCTCAATGCCAGAGGACTCTGGGTACTAGTTACCAAACTTTACTAAGTCATCAGGAGGGAGTGAGGGTGGTATGTGTAGAATGTTCTTTTTTGGCTCTGGCCTCTCTTAAGTCGATGCAAGTCCACATGGCGTAGAATAAACTGGAATAGTTATTAACATGCAAATTTTGGATTCTCAGACCCCCCCAAAAAATTGACAATTTGTAGGACTCTTAAGGACTCTTGTCTGCTGAGTGAGGGATTTAAAAATCATCATATTACTATTTTAATCTCTTATCAAATATGTATATAATGTTGTGCTTATACACCTTAACAATACAGATTTTCAAGGATGCTTATATATTTGTGCTGTGTGCTTTCAAGAACACTGAAATGAGTCACCCACTTTGTGGGGTGGGATGATAAGGGACTGACATCATTGACAGTATCAAGGATTAAGTTTCTAAGGAATTTCTGAAAAAACTGCTAGCAATAAACAAAGAGGACAACACATGACCTATGAAAGAGTGGATGACGAAAAAGCTAAGAGGCAAAGGATTTAGTAATCCAGGGCAGGGTGAAGACAGTGACTCAGCTATGGCTTTTGGAGGTTGGGGCTGCTGATTCTGAGGAACAGCTGGGGTTTTGGCACAGCACGGAGACAGACAGGCTCCAACCAGAGCTTCCCGGAGTCAAACCGACTTGGCTTCTCCTGGTGCCACGTATGAAATTCCCACATCTCACTGCACACCCAGCAGAACTAGAACCCAAGGAACACTGTTGCCCTGTTCATTGGTTCCCTGAAGCCATGCTGCCTTCTCTCAGAATAGGGTTCCAAAGGGAATGATGTTTCCAAGGGAAAGATAGACATTGTTGGGGTGGTTGGCTGGGGAGGTGTGTCTGTCATCCAGTATATGTCTGGTTATGGGCCTGCCTGGAGAAAATCTCTCAAGCATTTGGAAGAGGTGGTAAAGGAAGTGTGGTAAAGGTAGTGGGGTGTTTAGATGTCGTGACCTCCCTACAGTAAGACAGAAGTAGGTAGGTACATGTTAGGCTACTCCATTTCCTTATGACCTTGAGCAACTCACTTAAAATTCTTCAAGCCTCGGGTTCTTCATCCTTTAAGCAAGAAAAATAATACCTAGCTCAAGGTTGTCATAGAAACAGAATAAAGTGATTTCTAAGTCTTTTTTTAAGGGTAGAATTAATATTTTATTGTCACTTATAATCAGATGATAGTTGGGATATATAGTCTTTTGTACATAAAAAAATTACAAGTTTTAAACAGCCAATGACTGGTTATGTTTTCAGAAAACATAATTAGATTAATTCACTAATGGTGCCTTCAAGTTTTTCCTTATCAGCTCCAGATAATTCACTCACCTTTTGTCCCTTTTTAAAAAAAACTAGAAGGGGTGCCTGGATGGCTCAGTGGGTTAAGGGACCAACTTTTTATTTCAGCTCAGGTCATTATCCCACGGTTTGAGTTCAAGCCCCTAGTTGGGCTCTGCACTGGCAGTGTGGAGCCTGCTTGTGATTCTCTCCCTCTCTCTCTCTCTCTCTCCATCTCTCTGACCCTCCCCTACTCGCACTTGAGCCCTCTCTCTCTCTCAAAATAAATAAGCATTAAAAATAAACTGGAAGGCTGTCATACATTTGGCTTCATGCTCTGAAGCAACATTCTGTCATACATGTTAACATTAAGGAAACCACGTTGGAATATTTCTCATAACGGTAATGAAAGAAACGCTTGATCATTTTGCAAGGTCCACACCATGTATCTGAGAAGTCAACTACTACAAGTTTATCTCCTGCACTGTTTGAGGCTTTCTGAAAAGCATACCTCCTCTCAATCTGCTTCACCATTTTGGTGGCTGGGGTCTGATAAGCAACCTTAAGGACTGATGAAAGTGGATCTAAACCGCCGGACAGAGCTTCGATTTTGAAGTCTTGGTGAATGACACCATGATTGTGCTTAATAAGTGCTTGTGCCCCTGCTCCTCCCTCACCAAACCTTATCTCTTCATGTGGTAAATGAGCAGGGTGGCTGACCCCAAGACTTTTCCAGGTCTCAGCCTAGAGTCTGCAAAGGTGCTCAGAAGTATTGTGAGAAGTTCCCAGGGTGGCAGAAAAGGCCTCAGCCTGGCATGACCCAGCACCCTCAGCTCTTCCATAAACCCGCCAGGGCAAGGGCACTAGAAGTAGACCTGGAGGCCCAACAGAGCGCAGGATCGGGAACCAGGTAACTACACTCAGGAGCTGCCTCTTACCTGCCTGCCCTGCTCTGCCCCTGAGACCACCCAGAGGAGGCCCTGAGTCCAGAAGCCCTGAGCAGTCCATCCAGTGGGACAGGGACTCCAGGAGTCATGGAAGTATCCCTCACTGGCTAGCACCTGGCACACTCAGAAGGAGCTCTGGAAATGTCCGTAGCCTGATAAGCAGCTAGACCTCTCACTCTCTGGTCCCAGCCACTGCCATCCTGCCCATCAGCCTGAGCTGACACCAGAGTGGCCAGGAGCCCTCAGCATGGCTCACTGCATAGAAGGGGAAGTCAAGCCCCAAGGACCCAGGAGGGGCATGTCTGGAGACTGCAGCAAGAGGAAGGCTCACCTGAGCCTTGAGCTCCCAGCCCTGAAGACCCATGAGACAGACTGGAGTCCAAATAAGATGGGGACCAGCTGCTCAGGCCAGACTTTTTGACTTTAAGAGGGATTGTGGGCATCTCTGTGGTGTGGTAAGAACAACACTGAATCTGGGGGGCTCAGGTAGCTCAGTCAGTTAAGCGTCTAACGTGGCTCAGGCCATGATTTCACTGTTCATGAGTTCAAGCCCTGGGTTGTCTCTGTGCTGACAGCTCAGAGCCTGGATGGAGCCTGCTTCGGATTCTGGGTTTCCTGCTCTCTCTGTCCCTCCCCTGTTTGTGCTCTGTCTCTCTCTATCTCAAAAATAAAGAAATAAACACACACACACACACACACACACACAAAAAGAACAACACTGAATCCAAGGCAGAGTCCTGGGTTCTGGGACCAGCACATCCCCTCCACCCCAACTAATTTTAGGAGAGCTATTTAATTTGCACGTGTTCTGGGGCATCTGTAGCAGGGTCAGTAAAACCTCTCTCAGGAGCATTATCATTTGTACAATAGAATACTAAGCTCTGTGAAAAAGAATGAGGGAACATTCTAACAGCTAATGCCCAAGGGTTTACTATGGGTCAGACACTTCTGAGAATGCCAGATGTCTTAACTCATATCACCTTCAAATAATCCTATGGATTAGTATCATTCCCCCCATTAAAATCTTTTTTTAATGTTTATTTATTTTTGAGAGAGAGAGACAGTGCAAACGGGGAAGGGATAGAGAGAGAGGGAGACACAGAATCCAAAGCAGGCTCCAGGCTCTGAGCTGTCAGCACAGAGTCTGATGTGGGGCTCAAACCCTCAAACTGAGATCATGACCTGCACTGACGCCCAAAGGACTGAGCCACACAGGCACAATTCCACCCATTTTAAAGCTGAGAAAACTGAGGTACAGAAGTTAAATAATTTGCACCATTCACCCCCACCACATGCATACGTAAGTTTGAATATGTGCGGGAAAAATATCTATAAGGATGGATACCAAACTGTTAATGGCACCTAACTCTTGAGGTTTTTTTTGTATTATTTGAAGGGAAGATAACATGAGGAATTTCTTTTTTAAAACATATACATTTCAAAAATAAATAAATAAATAAAACCATATACATTTCTTTATTGATTGATTTTTTTTTTAAAGTAGGATCATGTACCACTTTTGGAATTTAAGAAAATGAATAAGGGAATCACTACTCACTGGCTTTCAGGTTTAACTGCAGAAGCGCATAAGCGGTGTGGCATGTGCTCCTGAGTCAGGAGACACTCTCTGTTCCCAGAACGCCTTTGATTATAGCCAGTTGCCAGAAGCAGGGAGAAGGAGGGGGCCACCCATCTCAAATAGTTACAACCCCACCCCTGACCCCCAGAAGACCTCTGGGGCCTGGCCTAGGCAAGGTGGTCTGTTACATCATACACCCCAGGGTCATTCAAGGGGCCTCAAGGACTGTGGGGTGGATCCACTAGCTCTGAGCAGTCAGCTGTTTGCGCGTTTCAGCCTTGAGGCTGCACCCTTGTGCTACTTTTTGGTCTTTTTAATTAATCGTTTTCTTTGTCTGATGACCAGCTGAGTGCCTGCCAACAGCGGGCCAGTCCTTGGTGCCTATCTACATCTCTCAACTTTTGGTCTTAGCCACGTGTTTTGGGACTTGACTGCACTGAATTTTATGTTTTTTTATTTATTTTATACATTTTTTAATGTGTTTTTTTTTTTTTTTTT